AAGGAATAAAGCAAGTAAGTGCACAGTGTGCATTGAACATAAAAAAAATAAATAAAGTGGAGCCAGTTTTCATCCCTCTTGTATCTGGCATAATTTCATTATACCGTAACCAGCCATATTATGAGCACATGCACAATCTAATGACGCGAATAGAAGAGCTGTATTTACAAAATTCATGTTTGATCGCTTCACTCCATAAGTTATAGCTTCAAAACTGTTGCTCAAAATTGAGCGTCATCTTTAACTAGGGAAAATAATCGGATTGTTCTCATGAGATCAAGGGCGGTGGTTGTTCAGGGCAGAATCTAACTAGAAAAAGTCTGACATTTGATCACAATTTATCCCCAAAAAGAACAGTGAATGCCTGATTCGTGAGACCGAAAAATGGGGTCGTGTGTAATATTTACAACGGCCCCAACCTCCCCCTTATTGAATAAGCCGCACGCAGTAGCAAAAAAAAAAAAAAAAAAAAGCTGTCTTCTAAAAATAGCACCACAACAGCAGCTGCGTGTATAACAAAGAATTCCCCTCCAGTTTGTTGCTAGGGAGAAAGAGACTACCGGTATAAAACAGAGAGTATAGTTGCTTAGCAACGCAGACGATTGTACATTTATTGCAAATGTAATAAAGGGGGAGAGGAGTGAGAAGTGTTCTTAAAGAAACAGGAAAGTAAGAAGGGAGGTTTTGTCATAACTTTTCTCCAGATGAGGGTAAAAACATTTCATCTGAAAATGGAAAGAAAGCATTTCAATGAGTGAAGCAGATGTTCCGATGAATTGTACATCGAATCATGTTTAAGTGTATTTGGAGAAATGTATTGATCTTCTCAATGTGTTTCTCAGAAAGCACGAAGGCTGGCTGCTCTTGCTATTTTCGGATTGCCGAGTCGTGCGTCTGTTAATTAACAGAGGCTGCTTGCTGTACGAGCCTGCATTAATTACATAATAGTGTAATGCAAAAAAAAAAAAAAAAAAAAAAAAAAAAAACACCTCCATTCAGCTTATTATACACTGACGAGAGACAAAAGCTATCGTGTACACAACAATCGTGTAAAAAAACTATGTTATAAAAAAAAAAATTAATTGATATAAATAACCTTGACAAAGAATGGGTAACTTTTTTCTTCTGGTTCCATAAAATTGGGTTAAAAAGAACAAAACTGTCAGGTCAATCAATACCTTTGTGTTTTGTAGGGAACAGGTTGTCAAAGAAAAAACGTCCACAGCTGTGTGTTCACCTTGATACTGCCCAAGTCACGCGGACAGTCATCTGTAAACTCGGGGCAAGGGATGAAGGGGGTCCCCACAGCGAGGGTGGGATTCCGCTCTGCCCTTTGCATGTCTGGATCGTGGTGGTGGAATTCAGCTCTGTAGTGTAGATCACATTTATTATTGATACCACACATTAAAACTTCACAAGCTCACATGTTATTCTGGGTAGTAGACCTTTTTTTTTTGAGGTGCTGCCAAGGGCACCTCACAGGCTGATAAATACTGTATACAATTTAATGAGAGATCAAGGGACAGTCAACAAATGCTATTTTTTGTGCCAAAATTAGATAGAAATCGTAATGAATTACTGGAACTGTATTGTATTATCCATTGATTTATTAAAATTGTAAATAGAATATAGAGAATTACATGAAACCTATTTCCTTTTATGTGTATTGGATTGTTTTACAATATGGAGAATTTAATCTGGTCACCTCAAATCTAAAAATGACAGCAATCCCGTGCGTGGGCTGCTGGCCCAGTGCACATCACGAGATCGGGGATGCCGCGAGTAGGAGCCCGCTAAGCCCCGCCCAGTGCTCATTATGTATGCAGTAACCGGGGAGACTGAGGCAGAGCCGCGCAGGCAGCCCATCACTACCCACTTGAAAAGCTCCTGTAGTAGTGTGCTCGTGCTAGTAGAAGACCGCAGTGCACTGGCGAGACATGGAGCATCTTGGCTTCCTTGAATAATCCAACAGGAGAAGGGCAGGGCAGCATTTGAGTATTCCAGATGTTCGGAATACCTCTTCCCAAGTATCACAGCCGCGGTTCGGATGCGAGATGGAGACATAGGCAAAGTGATAAAAGTACAAAGAGGACAGGGCCATGACAGTAGGACAGTGGACAATGGTTCAAAACGTGGTTTTGGTGTTTCTGCGCAGGAGGCTGAGCCAGAGACCCAATGTGGAGGAGCTGGAGAGTCGGAACATTTTGAAACGTAAGTTCATGCTAAACTGATGCCAGTCTACATTTACAAATGAACAGTGGGGAACATAAATACAGCACAGGACAATGCATTTAGAGCAGTGTTACATTATTCACTGTAAACCTCATGAGTGTGAGGATAGCCGCGGCTCTGTTTGTTTCATACAATGGCAAATGAATGTGTGTTTTGTAGGGAACAAAGAAAATCACACTAAAACATACAAATTGGAAAAATGATATTGACCACACAAGCTACGGTATGTCTTGCGAAGCGCTGTAGCTCATACGTTGCCCCAAGTAATAATGCCCAGTTTAGTCAGAGAGGTATGGATTAACATTATTTATTTTTGTGGTTGTAGTTTGCAGTGTAATAATAATGATTCCTAACCAGTCTGCTGTATCACATTAGTGTGGTGTGAGAAATCAGGTTTGCCGCAGGAAAATATCCATTATTTACGTACCATACTTTCCGGACGATAAATCACTTTTATTCATAGTTTGGCTGGTCCTGCGACTTATACTCAGGTGCGACCTGTAGATATTAAAATTAGAGTTCAGACTTGCACCCAAAATTCCCATTCCCTAATTGAGGCGGAACGATGGATGTACAGTACAGAAGTGCAGGGTTTGATTCCGGCTCTGGACTTCCTGTGTGGAGTTTGCATGTTCTCCCCGTGCCTGCGTGAGTTTTCTCCGGGTATTCCGGTTTCCTTCCACATTCCAAAAACATGCATGGCAGGTTCATGCAACACTCTAAATTGTCCCTCGGAGTTACTATTTAAAGCACCAAAAAGAGCAATAACCAACTAGGATTCTACCTTTGGCCTCAATGCGACACGGCATAAATTGTATGAATCCAAGATTCCATTGTGCAACATTGTGTTGGGGATACAGTCTTGCCATGTGGGCTCAGGAACAATTCACAAAAACCATTATCAATTGATCGAATATTTGCAAAAAAGAAAAAAAAAACAATACAGTTTATCAGGTTAAACTTTAAATATCTGTCTTTTTATTGTATTCAATTGAATACAAGTTGTAATGGATTTGCTTGTATTCTGTTTTGGAATTTGTGATTGCATTTACAGAAAATTTTCACAAAATACCCAACCTCAAAATTAACTAAAAACGATCAAATAAATAAATCCTGAATCTATACTATGTATGTGGTACTTTTTCAGCCCACACTTTTGGTGAAAATCAGTCTAGCAGTTTTTGCATGACCCTGCTTACTGGCGAACAGTCATGAAAACAATCTTTTTTTTCCCCCCTTCCAGAGAGAAACGACCAGACAGAACAAGAGGAGAGGAGAGAGATAAAACAGAGGCTAAACAGAAAGGTACAGAATTATTTAAAATATTCATGCTTTTACTTCTTGAGTCGTGTTTATTTTAATTGGAATGGTGGCAATTCAAGTGACCCCTTGCATTTCTCGCAGCTTAACCAACGGCCCACGGTAGATGAACTTCGTGACAGAAAGATTCTGATCCGCTTTAGTGACTATGTGGAGGTGGCCAAAGCTCAGGACTACGACAGGAGGGCAGACAAGCCCTGGACAAGACTCTCGGCGGCGGACAAGGTAGCAATACGCTTCAATGTTCATCAGTTCAGCAGAGACCCGCCTCATTGCTGACACCGTCTTTGGTCTTCCTCGCAGGCTGCCATCCGTAAAGAGCTGAATGAGTTCAAAAGCACTGAAATGGAAGTACACGCATCCAGCAAACACCTTACAAGGTTCGTGTGTTGAGGCGCACGCGCGCGACTCGTACATATGGGAGCGGCTATTCTGGGAAGCAAGGCTCTCAAATTAGCTCCTCTTTGTTCCTCCTGGGGAGGACAGAGGAGCTAAAAATAGATGAAAGTGCTGTAGTCAAGGAGAAGGGGGAGGAAATAATCAAATGGAAATGTGTTCCTTGGCTAAGCTTGTTTGTGTTTGGAACGAGCGCCCTGTGTTGTAACAGTGACCCAGAGAGAGGATCGGATTGTTCACAAGCAGCCGGCACATTTGTTGTTGTTGGATTAAAAATAGAGCACGACCGATGTTGGCTGCTGTAATTTACAATTTTCTTACGTTTGTCTCCGTAGGTTCCACCGGCCATGAGAGCCTGGGGTTTCTTCTGTGAAGAAATGTTCTGAATGTGCTCACTGTCGACAAGCCTGGAGGCCTTTTTCCGTCTTCAGCGAGTCTTAACTTTCTTCCTGCTTGGACAGGAGATGATGTTCACCGCTTCATGTTCAGAAGACCACTGGCCTTTCAGGGTGTCAGCGGACTGGTGGGGGAGGACTGTAGTATGGAGTCCTCTGATTCCCAGGATGAGCGGCAACGAGGATAAATACGTTTTGTTAATGAGTCAGTGTTGAGGGGTTTGGGGGGATTTCGTACTGTACAATGGACATTTCGTGAGAAGACGTGCATGTGGCCACTTTTTCTTAACTGCTGAGTAACGTGTCACTTGACTGGAGATGGATTTGATATTCACTGGACAAACAGTATGTCAACATCAGTGAAAAGAGAACCACCTTTGTAACAAGACTTCAAAATACTGTCTTTTCTTTTCTTAAAAGGAAGACTCATTTACCTTGTCCAACTTTTAGATTTTTTTTAAAAAAGGAACTGAACGAACATGTGGACTTTTTAATAGATTTGTTGAAAAACCTTGAGTTTCCTTCCGGAATCCATATTTTGATGGAATTCTCAACTATAAAATACTGCCATTGATTGCGAATGGTTTGTCAATTTTGCACACACAAATGGAAGTCTTAACAACAATACATTTAATGTCGCAAAAATGACTGCACGCCAAGAAAGCAAGATTAGATTTAAAAAGTTACATTTGCAAGAATCGGTGAAACAGAAACAACTTGCACTTAAATCATATAGCATATTAACAGAAGCAGTGACACTGGTATTAAACACTTATATAATATTACCAAACTGTAACAGTGTAGCTTAACTTGGACTTGAGACTTACTTATTATGCACTTATTTACACAAACTTGGTGTAACTTAGCTTGCACTTAAAACTTCAACTTCAATCAACAAGTACCCAGGCACGCAGACCTCTCCTCAAACCTTCCAAGGCCTCCTCGTGCTGCACAACACACACGGGCAGAATGAAAACTGCTTAAAATACGTCTCGCTTGACATCTAGACAGTTTCGTGTATTGTAATTTGCAATTGGACAGATGAACATGAAGAATGCAATTGTTCTACCGAGTGGAGAAGTTTGAATAAGTCTTGCGCGCTAAACCTCTGTTGTAAACTAATCAAAACCAAGATGTGGGAGACACAAAATGCAATCGTGAATACCCCCGTTGGTGTGAAACGGATTCGTCCGCGCCATGGTCACTTACCATTGTTCTGAGGAGGCGCTCTTGGATTGACTTCATGTCTTTTTTAAGATGCGCCATCTGCAAACAGTGACAGGCTGTTAACGTGGAGGCAACACACGCGATGACACGGTGGGCACAAGTTCACCAATAAGACAATGAGAAGATCGGAATGTTACAAAGGTATTGATTGGCTCATAAAGGATGATACACACAAGATGGCATTTTATATTAAAAGCCGTTTCAGACCTGGGACATGAATAACGGCTCCTCGTACTCGGGGCTCGAGCGCATGTCATTCAGAGTTCGCCTCAGGACCTCAATGCTAGATGAGTGGGGGTTCACCAGATTAGAAAATGGCAAAATACTGGTAAATTGTAGAAATGAAGTGCATTTCAACATTTGCAAAATCATACCACATCACATATCTTTGGAATCTGACTGTTGCAGTTGCAGTCCAGATAAGAGAATTAACAGACATATTCGACCACCTTTCATAAAGAGACCATACAGCACAATGTGGTGAATACATGTGGACTCTTCAATTTTAGCAAACTTAAAAACAACTACAACTTGATTACAATCTCTGAATTAACAAATGACAATGTGTTCTTGCCATTTTTTTTCTTTGTAAAATGAACAACAATTGTCACTGACAGTGTCGTGTACATTTGGTGAAATTTGGTGCGAGCAGCATTGGTTCAGTTCCCTCTAAGTGACGGTGAGAATGTAAGAGTGAACAGTCGCCTGTCTCCGCACTGCACTGCAACTTGATAGGAACCAATCCAGGTTGTAAGCAGTTCTTTTGAGAGAATGATATTGAGCATTAAAGAATGAATTCACCGGTAGGTTAAACAGCACCACAGAGTACTAACTTTACCTTTTGGTTTCCTGCTCATGATATGACTGGAAAAAAGTGTGCTGCCTTTCCAAGCATCTCTGCAAAAGAGACCATACATACACTTATCACACACTGCACTGTCGACAAGCCTGGAGGCCTTTTTCCGTCTTCAGCGAGTCTTAACTTTCTTCCTGCTTGGACAGGAGATGATGTTCACCGCTTCATGTTCAGAAGACCACTGGCCTTTCAGGGTGTCAGCGGACTGGTGGGGGAGGACTGTAGTATGGAGTCCTCTGATTCCCAGGATGAGCGGCAACGAGGATAAATACGTTTTGTTAATGAGTCAGTGTTGAGGGGTTTGGGGGGATTTCGTACTGTACAATGGACATTTCGTGAGAAGACGTGCATGTGGCCACTTTTTCTTAACTGCTGAGTAACGTGTCACTTGACTGGAGATGGATTTGATATTCACTGGACAAACAGTATGTCAACATCAGTGAAAAGAGAACCACCTTTGTAACAAGACTTCAAAATACTGTCTTTTCTTTTCTTAAAAGGAAGACTCATTTACCTTGTCCAACTTTTAGATTTTTTTTAAAAAAGGAACTGAACGAACATGTGGACTTTTTAATAGATTTGTTGAAAAACCTTGAGTTTCCTTCCGGAATCCATATTTTGATGGAATTCTCAACTATAAAATACTGCCATTGATTGCGAATGGTTTGTCAATTTTGCACACACAAATGGAAGTCTTAACAACAATACATTTAATGTCGCAAAAATGACTGCACGCCAAGAAAGCAAGATTAGATTTAAAAAGTTACATTTGCAAGAATCGGTGAAACAGAAACAACTTGCACTTAAATCATATAGCATATTAACAGAAGCAGTGACACTGGTATTAAACACTTATATAATATTACCAAACTGTAACAGTGTAGCTTAACTTGGACTTGAGACTTACTTATTATGCACTTATTTACACAAACTTGGTGTAACTTAGCTTGCACTTAAAACTTCAACTTCAATCAACAAGTACCCAGGCACGCAGACCTCTCCTCAAACCTTCCAAGGCCTCCTCGTGCTGCACAACACACACGGGCAGAATGAAAACTGCTTAAAATACGTCTCGCTTGACATCTAGACAGTTTCGTGTATTGTAATTTGCAATTGGACAGATGAACATGAAGAATGCAATTGTTCTACCGAGTGGAGAAGTTTGAATAAGTCTTGCGCGCTAAACCTCTGTTGTAAACTAATCAAAACCAAGATGTGGGAGACACAAAATGCAATCGTGAATACCCCCGTTGGTGTGAAACGGATTCGTCCGCGCCATGGTCACTTACCATTGTTCTGAGGAGGCGCTCTTGGATTGACTTCATGTCTTTTTTAAGATGCGCCATCTGCAAACAGTGACAGGCTGTTAACGTGGAGGCAACACACGCGATGACACGGTGGGCACAAGTTCACCAATAAGACAATGAGAAGATCGGAATGTTACAAAGGTATTGATTGGCTCATAAAGGATGATACACACAAGATGGCATTTTATATTAAAAGCCGTTTCAGACCTGGGACATGAATAACGGCTCCTCGTACTCGGGGCTCGAGCGCATGTCATTCAGAGTTCGCCTCAGGACCTCAATGCTAGATGAGTGGGGGTTCACCAGATTAGAAAATGGCAAAATACTGGTAAATTGTAGAAATGAAGTGCATTTCAACATTTGCAAAATCATACCACATCACATATCTTTGGAATCTGACTGTTGCAGTTGCAGTCCAGATAAGAGAATTAACAGACATATTCGACCACCTTTCATAAAGAGACCATACAGCACAATGTGGTGAATACATGTGGACTCTTCAATTTTAGCAAACTTAAAAACAACTACAACTTGATTACAATCTCTGAATTAACAAATGACAATGTGTTCTTGCCATTTTTTTTCTTTGTAAAATGAACAACAATTGTCACTGACAGTGTCGTGTACATTTGGTGAAATTTGGTGCGAGCAGCATTGGTTCAGTTCCCTCTAAGTGACGGTGAGAATGTAAGAGTGAACAGTCGCCTGTCTCCGCACTGCACTGCAACTTGATAGGAACCAATCCAGGTTGTAAGCAGTTCTTTTGAGAGAATGATATTGAGCATTAAAGAATGAATTCACCGGTAGGTTAAACAGCACCACAGAGTACTAACTTTACCTTTTGGTTTCCTGCTCATGATATGACTGGAAAAAAGTGTGCTGCCTTTCCAAGCATCTCTGCAAAAGAGACCATACATACACTTATCACACACTGGTGAAATCACAACAAATCATACACTCTTATTAAACAAGACAAGAGACATTGTGTCTGTGTGTGTGTGTGCATGTGTTTGTGTGCGCGCAGGTGAGGTCATGTGGGTGCGTGCCATGTGTAGATAAGAGAGAGCCAGCGTACATTCAGGTTTTTCTCCATGCTATTAAGCATGGCCTTCCCTTGCTCCAGATTGCGGATCTCTTGCAGAAAGACATTCTTGACATCTTCAAACTTCTGAGTCCTGCACAATATGGAAGGGAAACGCATCATTTCAACATTCAATTTCAAAAAAGTGGGAAATAAATTCAAGGGAAACAAAGAGTGTGGCCTTCGGCAGCCATAGGCCATAGTACATGCATTACACGTTGCATCATTTCAAACATGTTTCCTTGGTAATATTTATGTCCATGCTGGCTGAACTGACCTGTGTTTGCGAAGTCGCATGCTGAGAGAGGAGATGTGTTGCTGGACAGTCTTCATATTCTCCTTGGAATAACTATCCATTAACTTAAAGCGGTTCTGAATCTAAAAATATTTCAAACCATTGGAAGTGTTAGAAAATTCATGTGAATAGGCTTTCCAAAACTGCTTTATCATGCAAACAGGTATTCAGTAAGCAGTAATACAGTCGGTGATTATATCCAATAGAGTAGCACATTTTCAACCTGGAACTTTGTCTTTAGTTTGGAGGCGAGTTGTGGGGACAGATTACTCAGGTTAAGTCGAACATCCGGTAACTCTAAATCCTCCAAGTCCATCTCTCCATTACCCCGATCTGTGTCCAAGTGATTTGTCATCACTGAGAAGGAGGTGGTCATCTCACCTTCGATGTTCTCCTCAGCACCTGCAGTTGACAGATAAATCCACACGCCCGTGGGAGATATTTTTCAACTTCATTCGGACTTAGTTCAATCATTCTCATTATTATTTAACCTTTGTTCATCCAAATTGTATTGCAATGGCGACCCGACTCTTCCAGCCTAACTTTCCGAAAGCACACAGTACCATTAGTTTAATCTTGCATTTATATCAGCAAAAAGGAATTCAGTACTATGAAATAAGTTGGTGCGATTAATGTATGCATGTAATGTAATGTATTGGTAATATCTTTTTTTCTTACACGAGTTGAATAGCACACGAGGTTTCATGCTCGGGAGGCGCTTTCTTTTTTGTCTCTCTTTCTCCTCAGAATTACTGCACAGGGAGATGTGGCGCTTCCGACTGGGTCCTGTCATCAAAATATAACAAGGCAAATTTTAACATGGGGCGGATATTTCCTTTCGTCACTCCAGAAGCCTTTACAATATCTGAATATCAATCATCTTCACATGTTAGAGACATTACTCTGTGGGTGGATGAAGCAGCATGAAATACAGAAGAAGATTGCTTGAATCAAAGTTTACCTGAGACGAGAGTATCAGGAGAATCTTGATTTGATTGTGGTGTTTTCTGTCAAGATGAAAAACGTATTAGATGTGGGTGGCTATTATATCAAAGTGACTTACTCGTCATCCACATAAAATATACCGTAGTGGCTCCTACCTCTGTTTTCTGACAAACAGCCTGTGAGGCAAGTGTCCTTTGCTGAACTCCAATGGTCAATGACAGACTGAGGGAAACCTGAGAAACAGCAGATTCCTGACTTAAGCTATAATTTAAGTCAGGATTCATGGTGGCTCCGGATAACTGTGAATGGGAAGAAGCGGAAATGGGGGACCGCTTTGCGGGTGTCAACACGGGCGAAACGGACAGTGGAGATGAAGAGAGCTGGTTCATACTTTTCTAAAAACAAAAGGAACACATAGGAAAGAATACAATGTCAAAATGATTGACAAAAATATGCCGAGTGAAAAGCGACATAGGAAAAGTAACATGGAGAATAGTGTACACTGTATATGGTGCTGCTTGACAAAATTTACCACATTGAAATCCTGCCAATTCGCAGGTCACTATTTAGGAATTAGATCAACAGGCAGATCAGTGCAGCATCTGCAGTGATGCGGACTCCAGATCTGCCAACCTACAAAACTTCACTTCCTTCATAATTTGTCCGAATTTCCGTATTATTATTATTATTATTATTTTTTTTTTTACATTTTGTCAAGTACCTTGCCGCACGACATTCGTGACTTTCATGTGGCAGGTGTGTATAAATCACAAAACTGACAGATTCCAGGCAACAGCCCTCAAATCATTTTGAGGTTTTGTTCTTAAACGTCTTTAACATGTTGTAAGCAGATTTTAATTGACGACAATCATGAGAAAATACCATCAGATAATTAGTACCGTGAGACAGTGTTTTACCCCCTTTGATGAGGAAGACAGTGGTAGGTTGACAAGAGGGGAGAAGGCCAACTCCGGGGTCTGGGCGGACATGTCAGAGACTGTAAGGGTCCAAAATAAGCACTGACGATCAAACAGCTGTCTTAGATGGACAATAAGGTCACAGTACATACTGTTTTATGTTAACTGCAAAAAAATAAGAATTCAATTATTTCATCCATCCATCCATCCGAACCGCTTATCTTCACGTCACCGCTTATGTCAAGTCACATTTATTTATATAGCCTGTAATCAAAAACAGTCTCAAAGGGCTTCACATGCCCACTGTTGACAGATATTAATGATATCCCGTGATCTTAAACACCAGGAGGGCAAGGAAAAACTAAAAAAAAGAAAGAAAAAAAAAAACTATCTGTGGAAAAATAAGAATCCTTGAGAAGGGGACACATCCTTTCCAGGATGACCAGACTGCAATGGATGCCAAGTGGCAAACAGTTGACACAACATTGTACTATATAATCT